GCGTGCGTGTGTATGTGTGTGTGCGTGCGTCATTAATTTTTGTTTCTTTTCAACACCGTACGCGAAAAAAAACCGTCGGCCTCCTCGTCCTCGTCCAAGGAGGAAATTGCGGACCCGAATAATCCACAACCGGGAACGAGCCGTGGCGGAAAGAAGCATCGTCGTTGGTAATTTCGAAAAACACCTATAAGACCACCTTCCCTATGTTGTTCCTAAGTTTTGTTTCGTTGAGCGCGCACTATTAATATATCGTCTCCTCTATTTCAGATCAGACTGCGCTCTAAACTAAAAAGGCCGGAAAGCGGAAAGCCATGCATGTCACAGATTTTTGTAACCCTATTTGAAATAAAAAGCTCAGATATAAATGTCGTCTCCTTCCTTTCCCCTTTCCTTTCTACCCCGTCGACGTGGCCGCCACCTTGAAGCGGTGACGAGGCTGAGCGCTGCGTTCCCTTCTCTCCTTCGTCGAAAGAGAGAGAAGAGAACGCGGCGCGACCAACAGCGGCCACACGATTACGCGACGACCAACGGGCGATCATTGATATACGAATGAATTTTGTTACGCGTGAAACAAAATATTGTGAAAAATTTATAATAATCTAATGTAACCTCTACCCCGCCCCGATGTTGAATTTACTTTTAAAGATTTTTTATTTCTAACGATAGTTTTTTTTTTCTGTTTCAGAAAGTAAATCGATAATGAGCTCGCCTATTCCTTGGCAACAACTTCGACGAAAGGTAAGTATTCGTTCAGATATATATATATATATATATATATATATATATATATATATATTCCGCCCAAGCGAAATGGCAATCTTATTATAATCGTCTCAAAGCAGTGTTGTATGCCTCGAGTTTTTGTCTAATGTAACGCGCGCGCACACGCCGCACGCACACACAATACTGTGTAAATGTTTGCTGTCTTGTGCGGTATAAGCGACGTATAATACACAAGACGGGAAACATTAACGCAGTATTGCGTGCGTGCGTGCGTGCGTGCGTGCATGCTTTAGATTAGACAAAGACTCGACGCATAAAACACTGCCTTGAGATGATTGTAAGACTGCCATTCTGCTTGGGCCCTAACTTTTCCTCTTTACGTTTTCTTCGTACAGATGGCGGACAGCGACACCCGTGTGAAGTTAGCCCCCCAACTTTAAAAAAAATTGATTTTTTTTTAGCTCATTTGATTGCTCATCGTTTGCACATGTATGCACATTTCGAATTTTTGTTTGCACACTTATAGTAAAAAAGTTATTAACAAAACAATTTTGGGGGGGCCAACTTCACATTAGCCCCCCAACTACGAGCAAATTAGATCCAAATAGTCTTAATCGATAGATTTTTGTTTGCACATTTCGAAACAAGTCGATTTTTCGTTTGCACACACTTGGTTAAAAAATTATTAACAATTAAAGTTTCAAAAATGGTCAAAATAAGTAGATAAGTTCAAAACACGAATACTGTATTTAAAATGGCATTAATCGATAGATTTTTGTTTGCACAATCACAAACAGGTCGATTTTTCGTTTGCACACCCTTGGTTAAAAAGTTATTAACAATTAAAGTTTCGAAAACGGTCAATGTCAGTAGATAAGTTCGAAACACGAATACTGTGTTTAAAATGGCATTAATCGATAGATTTTCGTTTGCACATTTCGAAACAGGACAATTTTTCGTTTGCACACCCTTGGTTAAAAAGTTATTAACAATTAAAGTTTCGAAAACGGTCAATGTCAGTAGATAAGTTCGAAACACGGATACTGTGTTTAAAATGGCATTAATCGATAGATTTTCGTTTGCACATTTCGAAACAGGACGATTTTTCGTTTGCACACCCTTGGTTAAAAAGTTATTAACAATTAAAATTTCGAAAACGGTCAATGTCAGTAGATAAGTTCGAAACACGAATACTGTGTTTAAAATGGCATTAATCGATAGATTTTTGTTTGCACATTTCGAAACAAGTCGATTTTTCGTTTGCACACCCTTGGTTAAAAAGTTATTAACAATTAAAGTTTCGAAAATGATCAAAGTAAGTAGATAAGTTCGAAACACGAATATTGTATTTAAAATGGCATTAATCGATAGATTTTCGTTTGCACATTTCGAAACAGGTTGATTTTTGACCGTTTTCGAAACTTTAATTGTTAATAACTTTTTAACCAAGGGTGTGCAAACGAAAAATCGACCTATTTCGAAATGTGCAAACAAAAATCTATCGATTAAGACTATTTGGATCTAATTTACTCGTAGTTGGGGGGCTAATGTGAAGTTGGCCCCCCCAAAATTGGTTTGTTAATAACTTTTTTACTAGAAGTGTGCAAACGAAAATTCGAAATGTGCATACATGTGCAAACGATGAGCAATCAAATGAGCTAAAGAAAATTAATTTTTTTTAAAGTTGGGGAGCTAACTTTACACAGGTGACAGCGACGGCAACAGCAGCATCAGCAGCGAGATAATTGACGTCGAGACAAGCAGCAGCAGCAGCAGCGATAGCGAACGCGAAACCATCGCCGACATCGTAC